AAAAAAAAAAAACTATTTTTATTTTCGGAAAATCCTATCTATTTTTTTTTTTTTTCATTTCTAAATATCGATGTTTGTGTCGTTTGTGTCCTCGATTAAAATGACCTAAAAAAATGTGTGCTCGGAATGTATTGTTATATGTTATGTATATGTATGTCGGCATGTGTGTCGGATTATTGTTTAATTACACACACATCATTACACTATATTACATACACTATTAAGTGATACACTCACAAAGTCCGTGAACTTTTTTTTTTTTATGAAAATAATAAAAAAAAAAGATAAGAAGTTATTTATTATATGATAAGATTTTTTTTATAATCCATTTATGGGTTGAATGCCCTTTTTTTAATATATGTATATATGTATATATGTATGAAAATATTGGGTGGGAATTTAGAATTTAATCAGGAATGTCTTTGGAATTTATGGAATTTTTTAAAGTTTTACTACATAATTACTATAATAACATAACAAAAAAAAAAAAAATATTATAACAAAGGATTTATTTCTTTGTAAAAAAAAAAGATAAAAAAAAAAAAATTTTTTAATGCAAGTAATAATAAATAAATCGTAAAAGGCTTATCATCCGTGAGATTATTATGGCGTGGGCATATTATGATGAATAATTTGGGCTTATGAAAAAAAAAAAATATAAATTTATACTTGTATTGTATATAAACTTGTAACCATATTGTAAACATTTTTTTTAAAATTCCAAATTGAGAAGTTTAGAATTTTTTGTTTATCAAATTATATTTTTGAAATATTCCCATTCTAATGGTTCCATTCTACTATTATTCTTTTACTATTCCTTTTTTTAATAACGTACAAAATTTTAAATAAGGTTTATATTTATGTCAATCAAATTTAACCAAATACAATAACTTCATTGTGTTTTAAATAATTTGATTTTCAACAATAACACTTTTTTTTTGGTTGTTTTCAATGTTTCATTTTTTTATAAAAAAAGAATCTGATAATTATTGATTGGGTTTGATTGATGAATTTTCTTATTGTTCACAAAGAATAAATATAAAGCAAACATGTAGTAAATATGGAGAATTTATTGGAGTAAAAAATATGGAGCAAATTATTGGAGTAAAAAAATATGGAGCAATTATTGGAGTAAATATTCGAGTAAATATCTAGTAAATATTGAGAAAATATTTTTGAAGATACAATATATACAATAGATACTATACTGAGATACTGTAGATATATAGTAAATAGGGATGATCAAAAATGAAACTTATATGAAATACTTAAAAAAAATTCATTCGGGATAAAGAACGAGATAATGAACGAGATATTGAACGGGATTTATTATGATATAATTTATTGATGAGTAAAAATCGGGATATCATTTTTTTCCAAAAAAAAAAAAAA